GTTCAATACTTATTTTACCCGCTGTATTTTACACACATGCATTCATACACATACATACTTACACACACACATTCATAGAGATAAAAAAAACCCTAGCATTCCTTAAAATTATGCATATTACCCACAAAAGACTGCTATTAAAACACAATATTTATTAAATAGTAGAGACTACTTTAATTCAACGTTCTGTTTGAAATAAAACAGGAAGAATTGCAAACTCATTAAAATCCTCCCCAGTGTCTCAACGTTTCTTCTCGTTTCAGTCCATTCATAATTACACATTATATATTATTATGAACAGAACATCATTTATAACAAATGTCTCATAGGCCAACATTAAATAATGTAATCTATTTTCTTCCAACATACTTATGTGCATAACAAATATGTAAAAAAAAAAAAAAATCAACATTATGTCACATAATAGCTACACATTACACAGACCAGCTGGTGCAGGAAGGGTTTTAGAGGCTATGAAACAAATGCTTTATAAAATATCTGCAGTTTAGCTCGGAACCATTGCTGATTGGTGTGAATTGATTTAATGTGACACCTACCTTATATATCAACTAAGGAACAAACACACGAGTCAAGGTTATCACTTAGTTTTCAAATTCCTGAGCAACTAAAAGCTATAGTTTGTTAAATAAAACCATATGTAATCTTCTGCAACTTTAGCTAAACTCCTGGTTTGCAGAGCGGCTCTGTGAACTATATGTAACYGACTACAGATGCCAAACTCTGATTACTGCTAACTGTAGCAACACCGTCCTGCTCAAGTCCTCTGTGCTCAACAGCGCACCAGGAAGACAACACGCTACGTCATCGACACTAGCCAATAGGAGCTTCGAAACAAAAATAGCGCACACGGACTGACAGCCGATAATCCAATCAGATTCCAGACTTCACATGTCAGTCTCCCTGTCCATGTAACACGGACTTGAGCAGGTTCCAACGATTGACAGTGTGTCCAGCAAGTCCGAAAATTGGTGTTTTATTGAATGAGCCTGTAAACACGGGTGAGGTGGAAGTGGCAGCGTCGAACACAAATCAAAAGTACCGGGGGAGACCGCGCGGTGGGCGGGGCCAACGCATAGTGCGGTTGCATCGCAGCGCATACACAATGGCTGCTCGAAAGAGGAGAAAGCAAACAATTTTCAGGCCCGCCGCGTCCCGCAAAAAATATGAGAAAAAAATTATTAAAAATTCGGAAATTTGCTGAAAGTGGAGAAAAACACGACAGAAAGGATGCGGAAGCGTCTGGGGTGAGTTTGGCGCAAATTAAAGGAACGGTCAGCCCGTTTTTAATTTAAAATATCGGGGTTATTTAAATTATGGGGACAGAGGAGGAGGGGGAGTGTGGTGAGGGGGGAGGACGAGAAAGCTGGAGAAAAAGTTTGTTAATCAGAACCCAGGTTCGGAGCAGACATGAAAACCCAGTGCAGGGCAGTGCAATAAGAAGAGAGGAAAGGTGCAGAGTGTTGGTAGACCAGGAGCTGGAGCCGCAGGCAGACGGACCGAAAGTTGGCCTGAAGTTTAACTTAAAAAGTTTATTTTGGAAATAAAAATGACACCAGCAGCGCTGTGAGCTCTGCAGGACCCAACAGAAACCCCGTTTCTTCTTGTTCAATCACTCACTTATATGTGTCACATGGTTCTGATCGGAACCAGAGAAGCACATCGATCCGAGAGCGGCTGGGTTTGACAAAATAAATAAATAAATAAATATTTTAAAAGCTTCTCCGGGTGAAGGCAGCCCGGCAGCGGTCACAGGGAAGCAGCTGTCTCCGCTGCTCCTCTGCTGGGGCTCCGTGATGCTTGTGCCGTGTTTCTGCACTAATCACTTGTCATTAAAGGCTGGGAGTCGGAACCAGAGTTTGCAGACAGAACCTCTGATTGTCGCAGATGTTTGCGCTTGTGAGGCAGGTTGTTCTGCAGCAGAGCCTCCTCCAGCTCTCTGCACCGTTTTAAGATTAATAAACGGATTATTTCTTTAAAATAACTTTCATAGGGTRCCAACATCTTCGAATAAAACTAAAGTTACAGATTAAAAAATCKAATTTTCTGACATTTCCACACAACAATGTGAAAAGTCCTCATCAGCCACAAATAATGGCCTAATTTCTACATATTTCCAGAGATTTGACATTAAAATCTCAGCTAATTTTGTTTGATGAATGTTTAAAAGATTTTTCAGTAGCTAGTTATATTAATCAGATTTTTTTTAAATTTAGCAATCATTTAATGAATCATCATTCAYCACACAGATTGAGTTAATTGTGTTATTATACTTTCATCATGTATACATTTTCAAACCAGTTATGTTTGAAACACAGGCAGGTGAAAACATGAACTAAGTCTGTTGGGCCGAAGAAATAGTTTTGCTCCATATCAAGCAGCTTTTTTAAGCTATATGTTCAAAAATATGCATAACTAAAACAAAAGATTTAAACATCTAGATGACAAATATAATCCATTTTTTTCTGAATAACAGAGGTGTAATTAAATACATTTACTATGTTAC